CTTCGGAAATATTAAATTTTTTCTACAACCTTAGAAATTTTTTTTCTCGGATAATTTTCCTTACTATTCAAATAGACTACTATGGATATGAATCTAAAAATCGGGAAATTCTCAATTGGAAGAACTAATGGACTAAAACTAGCAGGATGAAATTTAATAGAAGTATGAAGTGCAGAAACTTCAGTATATGTTTAGGATGATTTCTTTCCTGGCCCGAGTACAGGCCATTTGAAAAAAAAGAGAGATTTGAGCCAACTAGGTCAGTGCAAGCCAACAGCATTACATAAATGCCAATAAAACTAATTGGGTCTTAAGTGGCATAGAAGTATACAAGTATACGACACAAAAAGGGGAGACGATTGTCCTAAATCCAGCAAAACTGGAATTCAGCTCTAGGCACCACATGTAAAGGAAAATGTTAATAGGAATTACTTCAGAGCACATGGTCAAAGTCAGACCGTCAAGAAGCCACACTATGTGGGAAAATGTTGAAAGCACTGGAGAAATTTAGAAGGCTTCAGGGATGCATGATCACTATCTTCAAATATTTCAAGAACTATCTTGGGGAAGAACAATCCATATAGGCTCAAGATTCAGAAATAGAACCAATGGGAGGATAACATAATGAATGAATCAACTAATACTAACGGCCAGCTCTCTATTAGAGGTATGTTACCCAATAGGGCCTACAGGCTAGCCAAGGAGACTGAAGAATGCATCTAAAAAGAATCCTCACCTTGCTGCTTATGGGAGTGTGCAAATATTAAAGGAAGCATATTGCCAACATAGTCTTCAGGGTGTGGGGTGGTGAGAGTGCTTTAAGGGAAGGGGTGGGGTGTGGAAATTGAGCTGGACTTTGACAGATGTATCAGTTTACAAATCCAAAGTGGTCATGTAACAGCCAAAAAGCCAAAGCCAAGATTACTGGGAATCCACTCAGGGCTTAAGAACATACAATAATTCTCTATAATACATTCTTTCTCAAACTTTTGCAGTTCGTAAGAAGTAAGGTGTGTGATTCCTTTCCTTGTTTTTTTTTTCTTTTTGAGATGGGAGTTTCGCTCTTGTTGCCCAGGCTAGAGTGCAATGGCTTGATCTCGGCTCACTGCAACCTCTCCCTCCCAGGTTCAAGCGATTCTCCTGTCTCAGCCTCCTGAGTAGCTGGGATTACAGGTGCATGCCACCATGCCTGGCTAATTTTTGTATTTTTAGTAGAGACAGTGTTTCATCATATTGGTCAGGCTGGTCTCAAACTCCTGACCTCAGATGATCCACCTGCCTTGGCCTCCCAAAGTGCTGGGATTTCAGGTGTGAGCCACCATGCCCCGCCCCCTTTCCTTTCTTTAATCACTACAGTACACCCAGCACACATCCAGCACACACACACACACACACACACACTCCCCCCACAATACTTACTATTAGTAGAAGAGAAGAATAAGTATCATCTTATCCTTCGAGAGAGAAGTCCGAAAAGAAGTAAATACCCTTTGAGAATAGAGCACACAAGGGCCCCATCAACAAGGAGAAACAGCCTCCCTAGACTGTGCCAAGTTCTGCCGCTACTTCTACCAAAACCTCAGAGTTTTTCTACTACCTCTTGACTGAAAAACACAGACAACACATTTTGTCATTCATTTCGCACTGTCTGGGAAAGTGCCCAGGTCCTGGAGTCAAACAAACTCTGGTTCTCATTCTTGCCCTGAGGCTTAGCTGTATAAACTTGGGCAAAACACTTAACCTCACTGTGCCTCAGTTTCCATATCTGTATGTTATGGATAATCACTTCTGCATGGAGTTTTCTGAAGATGAATGAAGCTATATATTTGTAAAATGTCTGCACACTGAAGGGTGTTGAATAAATAGTAGCACTTAGGGTGCATATCTAGAGGAATGCTTTATTTTGAAATGGGCCCCAAAATGCATGCCCTGCCTTATAAGTAAGGCAGGAGCTGACTCTAAATGAATGTAATCAAGCATTGGTCAGCTGGTCTCGAACTCCTGACCTCAAGTGATCCACCCGCCTTGGCCTCCCAAAGTGCTGGGATTACAGGTGTGAGCCACCATGCCCCGCCTCCTTTCCTTGGAGGGGACCAAGATTTCAGCTCTCAGGCATAGCCAGCAAGGTACAAGCAAATGGATTTGTTCAGCAGTTTCAAATGTGGTTGAATTATGACATTTGTTCAAAGAAAAATGTGGATAGAAGACCAGGATTTCGGAGGGATAAATGCAGAGCAGCTCCAGTTGAATCATGGTTGGAGATCCAGAGGCTACTCGGATTCTCCTCCACCTTCTACCCCAGAACCCTCCTCCCCACCTCCTGTGCTTCCCTGAGCCAAGTGAGAAAACTCCCATCCCAAGTGTTGTATCCCGAAGGTCCTGTCTTACCTCCAGCATTCTATAATTCCACTTCTGCCATTGCCGCAAAAAACTATAGCTTTCCAGTCATCGGTGGCTTGAGACCTCAGGCACCTTTGATGCTTTGAAAAAAATTACATCACTTCTTGAAAAGTGTTAAGATGGGTTTGTATAATATTTTTAAAAATTGTATCATGGCTGTTCTTTTCTCTCTCTCTCTTTCTTTTTTTTTTTTTTTTGAGACAGGGTCTCGTGCTGTTGCCCAGGATGGAGGGCAGTGGTGTGATAATGGCTCACTGCATCCTCGACCTCCCAGGCTCAAGTAATCTTCCCACCTCAGCCTCTTGAGTAGCTGGGACCACAGTGGCACACAGTCATGCGTTGCTAATTTTTGTACTTTTTTGTAGAGATGGAGTTTTACCATGTTGCCAGGCTCGTCTTGAACTCCTGGGCTCACGCCACCCACCCACTTCAGCCTCCCAGAATGCTGGGATTAGAGGCATTAGCCACCACACCTGGCTGCCTTTGTATAATATTGATTTCTGCTTACTTCTGTATTATAGATTACAAAGCAGTGTGAAGTGACTGAAACTTCTTTTCTTTTTTTTTTTGAGATGGAGTTTCACTCATGTTACCCAGGTTGGAGTGCAATGGCGCGATCTCGGCTCACCGCAACCTCCGCCTCCTGGGTTCAGGCAATTCTCCTGCCTCAGCCTCCTGAGTAGCTGGGATTACAGGCATGCACCACCATGCCCAGCTCATTTTTTGTATTTTTAGTAGAGACGGGGTTTCACCATGTTGACCAGGATGGTCTCGATCTCTTGACCTCGTGATCCACCCGCCTCGGCCTCCCAAAGTGCTGGGATTACAGGCTTGAGCCACCGCGCCCGGCCGCGACTGAAGCTTCTTAATGGTAAAAGATATCCACAGACTCATCCAATTAAAAAAGAGAGTATGCTTTATGGTGCTTTGTTAAAAAAAAAAAAAAAGCAACAGCAGTTATGAGATGGAACAAATAATAAATCTTATAGTATTTTTTTAATAAAAAGATACTAGAAGATTCATACTTATTGAATAATTGGCAAAGCATGAACTGGAAGACAATGTATAATTTGCTAATATTTTTCAAGAGTTGTTTGACATGAACACATTTATGGGCCTCTATTTTAGTTACATTTGCTCTACAGCACCTGCCTTGAATATTTCTAAGTTACTGCAGATGTTCTACTAAGCACTGCAGATGCTGGTCGGCTCTTGGGCTCTCCTGCAAACTGCCATGTGTTTACTGCCTCCACATCTTCAGCATTCCTTTCCAAGTTTACGGATGCACTATTTGGAATGAGCTCTGCAAACGGTGGAGCAGCAAGAAAAACAAGGCAAAAAAACCTTGATCACCACCTTCTTACTCTGGAAGTTTCAGATAGCTAAATGCCACTTTAGTACATAAATAACTGAAATAGTATGCCTTCTAGACATCTTTTTAAGCAGGAAAAAAAAAAGACTGTTCATGTCCCAATGGTGATTTTTGTGCAGCGCTCAGTTGGACTCTCGGGATGCCTAAGCTAGTGTGATTTGTAGCTGAGCAAGAAATATTCTTTCCATGTCTGGCCCCAATTTTACCATGTATCTTCATTAAAAAAAAAAAAAAGAAAAAATGTTTACACCTTCATGTTCATTTTTTAAAATATATCTGACAAGCAGAGAATTGTTTAAGCTAATCTTCACAGCTAACAGAGACACCTATGTTTACTCTGCTAACTTCCCGAGTTTGTTTGGTAAATGAGCTTTGTAACCCTACCATTTGTTTGTCACTAAAGCCTCCCAACAATGAATGCCCATCTAATCAGCATTCACCTTGCCCAATCACCCCCCTCAATACCCTTTTTCCTCTTTTTTTGTTTTTTTGGGATGGAGTCTCATTCTGTCACCCAGGCTGGAGTACAGTGGCACCATCTCAGCTCACTGCAACCTCTACCTCCTGGGTTCAAGCTATTCTCCTGCCTCAGCCTCCTGAGTAGCTGGGATTACAGGTGTGCACTACTACTCCCAGCTAATTTTTGTAGTTTTAGCAGAGATGGGGTTTCATCATGTTGGCCAGGCTGGTCTCGAACTCCTGACCTCAGGTGATCCGCCCATCTCAGCCTCACAGAGTGCTGGGATTACAGGCAGGAACCATTGCTCCCAGCCCCCTTTTCTTTTCTTAATCCACAGGCTTCTGCATCACCAAGAAACAATTCCCTTATTCTCAAATCTCTTCTTTCATCTGTTTAGGTGAGTGCCTGGGGTGATTTGTTGCAATCTTCTTGGTGCAATCTTCTATCTAAGAATGGTCTTAATGCCAGCAGCACTGAACCTTCAGAGAGAGTTGAATGGCTGTGATACTCGAGGCGGTGGCCAGCTGCTGCTCCAAGCCTTTGCTGTATTAATACTGTACATCTTGGCTGCACTGTTTCCACTCTCTACTTTTGGAAAATTTCCACATTTGGTCTGTGTTTACGTCAGCAACACTGAGTCAAAACACCACTGCTGGGGTTTGAAAAAGGCATTATTAAACCACATTCCTGCACTCAGCTCATCTGGAGTCAGGAGGAGGCCTTCCAGTAAATCTTTACTTCACCTTGTCATTCTACTTATCGTAGAAAGGCACTGATTTCCTTTTAGCTCATCTCAGGGGCTATATTGTTATTTTTTTCCTAAAATTTCAGCCAGAAACTTGTCCTTAGAACCTTGTATTACTGTGCCCATTGTTTTCAGGATTCCTTATCTGTAAAAGGATTCTACTAGCCTGGGTAGCTAAGTGTTGCTCATTTTCCCACTGTTTTCTCCACTTCGGCTTTAAGATCATAAAAATGAAATCCTTTGTTGAGATTTTCAAATCTAAACATAAGTCCTATCTTCTTAAACTTGTCTTTAATTAGTGCCACTGATATACAATTAATCCCTTTAGCGTTTAACAGGGGCCTCACAAAATTTGCTGGTAAAAGACAGGCACACGTATCAAGTGGGCAGGGGAGGGGAACAGTGATCACACGTAGGGGCTCTTAGAAAGAAACCACAGAATGTGAAACAGAAACCATTTCTAAATATAATGCAAATTCATTATTACTTAGATTTAAAGTTAGGGAAAATCTCCCTATTTAGTAATCATCGTCAAAGCATGTGTAAACTGTTATTATTTTCACAACTGAACACATCCAGCAAATGCCATATCCAAAGCATCACTAGGGAACGGTCCTATCATTGCCCTTGGTTTTGCTTACACTACCTATAATCGAAGGTAAAGCAAACAAGCAAAAAACTCTTACCCCTTCCTCCACACACTATAAAAACAAGTAATATTTCATCGAAGGCTTCCTTAACACACTCTAAACCAATCTAAAAATCAAGCTCAATAGGGTCAAAGAAGATTTGACTTTTTGATTACAAAATGCTCTGGTAAAAACACTTAAGAACAATAAGGAAACTATAAACACAGCTTTGTAAATATAAAGATGACACTGCTCAAGTAAAACGAATCCATAATGCTCTGATGCAGATGACTGGAATCTAATTTTAAATAAAAGGAAACCCAAATAAATAGCAAGACCACCTCTCTTAATGCTCCTCCTCCCCAACCAAACCCCAAACAAAGGACGAGAACAAGAACAAAAATGAAATAAAAGACAAACAAGGAGTCTTTGACAAGGCAGTTGTATGCAAGACAATGTTTTACAAATTGAACATGAAAAGAGGTTAATCGATATCATGGAAGCCTTTCTGGGAAGAGCACACATTTGTGTTTCTGGAAGAAGAGCCTCTGCGTGCTATTGATCAGACTAATTAGGTCCTTGGCTTTGAGACTACACTAACACAGGTACTAATTAATCTCTAAGAAGGTGCTTAAGGGAGGGGTAGACACAGGCCACGGAAAGATCAGAAGAAATGGACAGATGCAGGTCACAAAAATCCGCGAGCAAACCTCTTTCCTGTAGAACTCCTTCCCCACCCACCTCTCTCCTGTAGGACCAGGGCAACACACAGCCACTTCTGGTGGGCACCCTCTGTCCCAGTGCTGAGAGCAAGAGGAAAGTCTTGATAAGCCTGACCACAGATGTGCATTAATTCCATTAAAGAATAGAATAGCTTCCTTGGCTAACGAACTCTATCTACCTCAGTAGATTTTTCTAAAATTAAGTAATTAACTGGAAAGATTAGGTTAGATAGTTTAAAGCCTCCAGCACACAAACAGAAATAGGAATGAAAAGACTTCTAAGCCATTCATTTTTACACATCTATAAAGAACACATTTTAACTAGTCCTCTCAAATTAGCAATAGGACTTCCCTTCTATATTTGAGTTTTAAAAACTCATATCCATACCACAACAAAAATCTGCTTTGAAAGGTTAAAAAATGGCAATTTACTATCAATTTGACGCACCCATAAATTACTAATAAAACTATAAGCCCCTAAAAATAGATTTTTTTTAAAAAAAGCTATCACAACTGTCTGTGCCTTCCTTTCTCTTTTAAATCGAAGAAAGAACCAATCTGCAGAAAGAAGTCTGTGGCCAAAGTTATTAAGAAGTGCTTAAAACCTTACCTTTTAGCAGGTTAAAAGTCTCAGGGATGATATTCTTCCGGAAGACCCACAAAACTCCTCTGCAAGGATGTCTCCCCATGGCCCAAAGGCAGGGAAGCCATCCCCAGTCCACATTCAGCACCCCACACCCATTAAAGTTGCTTCAACCGGGGCAGGACAGTGCTGACCACCTCTAGCCCTGCAGGGCCAGAAACAAAGGGCAATGGAATTTCTTCTCTAAGTGGAGAACTAATTCCATCGCACAGTAGCTATTTAAGGAGGTGGTGCCCGTGGAACAAATGCTGCCTGGAGCCTTCCTGTTTGTGTCTCAGCTCAAACTTCCATCCATTTCCTAAGGAAGACTGCAAAGTGTAATCAGCCTCAAAAAGGCTGAGATTCACAGAAACCCACACAGTGTGTGAGGACAATTTTTACAGTTTTCCTTCCTTCTTTCCTCTACTTAACAAACGTGGAGCTTTATGCAAAAGTCAAAAGCAAAAACCATAACTGCTGTGATTGCAAAACGTTTTCTATTCCTGAAAGATTTTTTTTTAACCTGAAATGTAGAAAGGAAAGAATTCACGGATGATTAATTCAATATATATCGAGCAATATAGAGAAAAATCACGCAACTTAGGGTCAGAAGGCAAGGGTCCGATTTAAAAAACTTTGCCATTTACTAGCTTTGGGCCCTTCAGAAATTCACAGATTCTCGTTGGGCCTCAGTTTTTCCATCTGAATAAATGGCATCAATAATATGTACTTTACAAAGCTATTATGAGAGCTACATAGACATCTGTAAAAGACCCTATACTTGGCTCTCTATAAAAGTCAGGTCATGCTGTCGTTTATATCGCAGTATTTGATTTCCCAGCTGCTGTCACACAATGTCAGGCATTACTAAAAGGAGCTAATACAATTCTTCTCTTCTTTCCAAAATGACATTATGTATGCATCTGTGGCTTGTGTACTGTCTGACTTCCTCATTGGCCCCTAGGTCGCAGGTGGAACAGAAACTTCATTTGCTATTCTGATTTAACGTTTCCAGTGCCTAGAGCTGTTCCTGGAACATATTAACATACAATAAATATTTGCTAAATGAATAAATGGATAAATGCATAATTTCAGACAAAGTCAAGTACAACATTCTACACACAGTAAACCTCAAACAAATATGTATTTAATTAGTCAATGAATACAGATGCTTCTCAACTTACGATGGAGTTATGTCCATATAAAACCATCACAATCCCAGCACTTTGGGAGGCCAAGGTGGGTGGATCACCTGACGACAGGAGTTTGAAATCAGCCTGGCCAGCACGATGAAACCCCATCTTTACAAATAATACAAAATTTAGCCGAGCGTGGTGGCACACACCTATAATCCTAGCTACTCAGGAGGCTGAGGCAGGAGAATCACTTGGCCCTGGGAGGCAGAGTTTGCAGTAAGCCAAGATCATGCCATTGTGCTCCAGCTTGGGCAACAGAGCAAGACTCCGTCTCAAAAAAACAAAACAAACAAAAAACCATCACGATTTGAAAATACTGCTGAAATAAGTCAAATAAGTCGAAAATGCAATTAATACACCCAACCTACCAACCATCACGGCTCAGCCTAGTTTACCATAAATGTGCTCGGAACACTTACATTAGCATACGGTTGGGTGAAATCCTCTAACACAAACTTATTTTATAAGACATGTTGAATATCTCCTGTAATATACTGATACTGTACTGAAACTGTATTGAATACTGCACTGAAAGTGAAAAACAGAATGCTTGAATGGGTACTCAAAGTACGAACTACTGAACACATACACTTTTGCACTATTGTAAAGTCAAAAGATCGTAGTTGAACCACCCTAAGCCAGGGACCGTCTGTACCGTTTTTCTATAAAGAAACATCCCGAGGAAAATTCAATGTCGTAAACTTGAAGTTGTAACTCCTGAAAACAAGTGTAATAAATATGACCTTATATTCTGTTAGCGCACCCAGTTGAAACATATTATTAAGATAGTTAATGTACAAATGAACTTCATGGAGTGTGACTATTAGGTACAATACTTAATATGAATTAACTCACTGAAAAAATTTTAGCTTAGTTGAGAGTATACCTAAAGTCCTTTCTTGGGCTTGTTTCTCTTAAAAATGAAAACTCCCCATTACCCTTTAAGTCCTAGCTTGGTGGCAGTGGGATTCATTAATGGTACTGTGGGGCTTTTCGGATTTGAGAGGATTTTTATTGATATATAATATTTTACATATTTATGGGTACATGTGATATTTGGTTACATGCACAGAATGTGTAATGATCAGGTCAGGGCATCTGAGGTATCTACTACTTTGAATTTGATCATGTCTATGTTTCCTCTCTTCCAGCTAGTCATCTTAATACGCTGTTACCTAAGAGTCCTAATCTTTTATCTAACTACAGAAAGAACATTATCCAGACAAGGAAAATGACGTGTGTTCCCTTGTCGTTCTTATGATCCAACAACTAATGTTTAACATAACATCATACTGGGCAACAGGAGAGTCTCAAGGATCAGAAACAACATATGGCATTTAGTGATGGGCCTTCACATTCTTGCTTGAATCTGGTTCAGTTCTCCAGGGACCACAAATCAATTCCTTGATGAATGTTCATGAATCGATTGTGTCTAAGGAAGAAAGTGACTGTAGTGGTTGTCTATTTTATAAAATTACCAAGAGATGAAAGATCCCGAATATCAAAAGATCATGTGAAATATAATTCCCTCTCATTTCTAAGAAGCTCTCTTGCTTTGCTTGTGAAATATAAACCTCCCCATCTCTCTTCTTTTCCTCTCTACTGTCTCTTGGCTCCCACTCTTTAGAGAGGACAAGAACTATCTTACTACAGATCTTTTTGTGAGCATTAATAATTGAAAATAAAGACTTAGGCTGGGCACAGTGGCTTATACCTGTGTTCCCAGCAATTTAGGAGGCTGAGGTAAAGAGACAGCTTGAACTCAGGAGTTTGAGACCAGTCTGGACAACCTAGTGAGATACCCCCTCATCTCTACAAAAAATCTAAAAATTAGCCAGGTGTGGTGGTGGTGCACACCCATAGTCCCAGCTATCCAGGAGGCTGGGACAAGAGGATTGCTTGAGCCCAGGAGAACAAGGCTGTAGTGAGCCATGATCGCATCACTGCACTCTAGCCTGGGCAACAGAGCAAAACCCTGTCTCACCAAAAAAAAAAAAAAAAAAAATAAAACGATTTAAAGTTGCTCACTCTGAATGAAGTCATTGTAGTTCCAAAATATAGAGAAGAATTTCATGATTACTAAATCTGAAAGTTATAGGTTTGGGCCAATGAAAAAGAATCTCTAAGAACAGAGTGTGGTCAAATAAAAAGAAAATTGACTGCCTTTCACAAGTCTCCACTCTCTTTATGCTTTTCTGAATTCAAGGTTTCAGACACTGGGGCAATGTGGCTCCCCACCTCCCTCCGCCTCCCTCTCCCCTCACTCACCCAAGGGCTAGAGGCATCTTTTAATTGAATAATGAAAGATTCTAAAGAAGTTTGGTATTGATTTTTTAACAGCTTCTAGCAGCCAGGCTTTCTCACTTACAAGTAGCCTCTGGCCTGACAAATACCAGTCTATGTGGAACAAGAGAGCTCAGCTATGGAAGGTTATCACATGTGGCTTAAATGCTGCCTGTGACAAGCATGTTTGACCCCAGGGGAAGGTGGGCTGAAGTGTGGAAACTGCCATCCAATATTCAAGTCTTTTTTCTTCATCAAATGTAAGAACACTTTGGAAGCACCCAGAAGCTCTGAAATCCTACCCTGGGGATGTCAATGCTCGGGTCGGCTTTTTCCTGTAGAATAGCTTCATTGCCCAGATTACTGACAGATTTAATCAAGACAGCACTACATATTTGGCTCACAAATAAAAAGATAACTTCAAATTACTGATTGTACTATTTCTATCCTTATTTAGCCCATATTTTAATAAATATTTATCTAATGCTACAGATAACACAAAAATCAATCTTGTAAGAGATCATTTACGTCCACAACCAAAAGGAACAAATATCATAGAACACATTATCCCAAAGCCTGCAATTACTGCTTAGTACACTTTGCAACAGAATAAAAATGCATCTTTCCTTTTTGCCATTTGTTGTTTTATAGAAGGATAGCTAATTTACTATCAGCTGACTCCAGTAACTATGATTTGTTAGGAATAAAATAAATAAGACAAAGTTACCTTGAGAGGAAAATATTCTTGATAAGGAAATATTTTGAAGGCAAGTTAATTCTAAGAGTTTAGGACTATTTGTTTTCCAAGTAAATAATAAAGGAAACGTTTCTTTCTCCTTTTCTCTCTTCCAATTGCTGTGGGGAAGGGCCCTGCTAGACGCTATGAGAACACAAGACATGTAAGTACAGGGTTCCTATTCTCAATCAATTTATAAACTACAAAGACAGACACAGAAACAACTATAGTACAAAGGTAGTGTGCAGTACAGACAGAAAGCCTGATATCATGAATGCAGAGCATGAAATGAAAAGGACATGGGTGCAAATCCTGGCTTTGGCACATTGCAGGTGCATGATCTTCAGCAAATTTCTTAATCTTTCCAAGTCTTGCTTTCCTCGTGACTAAAATAGAGACCATACCAGTACCTACCTCATTGGGTCACAGTGAAAGTTAAGTGAATTTATGAATGCAGATCCCTTAACAGAGTTCCTGGCTTTTGGAAGTCCTCAATAAATAGCATTGATGCAGAAGAAAACGATTAAAGAAATATTTAAATTGCCATAGACATTCAAAGGAGAAGGAAAATTCACATCCATAAATGATAGATATGAAGCCCCAGTGAAGAAATCACTTCCTTGGAATAGTTTAGATGTACAGGCTGTCCCTGACTTACATTCCTTATGTGTGGAAGGTGACTGGGAAACAGTACCTGGGAAGAGCCAGAGCCACAGCACCCCCTCGTCTCCCAGTTGTCAGACTCCCTTTCTTTCTGGGATGCCCGACTGTGGTCCTGTGTCTAATATCAGCTTGTGCCATCCAGGGCACAATCAATGGCCCTGGAGTCTCTTCTCCCCCTGCCAAAAATTGCTTCTTTCTCAACGCTAAGGAGGTTCTAAAAGGCTACCTTAATGTCTGAGAGGAAACACACAGAATATTTATAAAAGCTGAAATTGTTTCTGGCCACAAAGGATTAACTGATATTAGATTAGCCTTGCCACCATCAACAACTAGGAAAGTGCATAAACTACATAAAAAACTGTTTATAAGACATCAGATAAGAGGAAGCACAACAGAAGTTGTGATGCCTGAGAGAAAAGGAACAATGAGTGGGTCCTACGGGCGTCCCAGCTTTCTGCCTGGATGAACCGTGCAGAACAGCAAGCAGTACAGCAAGGGTAAGCCAAGAACACGGGGGTCTCACCAACTTAAGAGGACATAGAACAGAGTTCAAGGAGGCTACGGCAAATGGAATTTGGTAGAAAAAGTATCTGACAGAAAGAAATTATAGAGACAAAAGAGCTCAATTAATCCATATGGGGTCTCCTTGAGTTTTTTGCTAAATACATGTGCAGGGTCAACTTCACAGAGCAGCATCCCCCTCCCAAAAACATATCTTCAATAAGTTAAGTAATTCCCAGAGCTCCCAAAGGGCTGGGAGACATTTGACTCTGGACCAATCAGAACAGAAAGTCTTTATTGAGAACTTGAGGTTTTGGTCAAAACCCCAGAAGTTTCTCACTTTAGTGAAACTAAATCAGCCGAAGTAAAGGCTACTCTAGACCTACCTTAATGAAACTAAAAAGAAAGGCAATAAAACCTTGCATCTAACAACAAAATAACAAGTCGGGCATTCACTAAAAAACTACATATATGCAAAGAAGCAGAAAATGAGACACAAAAACAGACTCAGAAATTACAGAGTTGAGAGTGGAGGAATTAGCACACAAGGACATTAAAGAGAAATCATGACTATGCTCAATAATTTTAGGAATTAAAAAGAAAAATAAGAGGGGAGACATGGAAGATAAGAAAATAAAACTTTCTGGAAGTGAACAAAATATCTGAAATGAAAAACACACCAAATAGAATTATCAGCACATTAATCAACTACAGAATAAGAGACCAATAAATTTGGAGACAAAATATGGAAAATACTCAAACTGAAACACACAGGGAACAAAAGTCTGGAAAAATTGAACAGAGCCTGAGTGACCTGTGCGATGATACTGAGTAGTCCAAATGTGCCACTGGAGTGCTAGGATGGGGATTGGGAGGGGGAACTGATTTAAAGAAGTAGTGGCTGAAAATTTTCCAAGGTTGTTGAAAACTATAGATCACAGATTCAAGAAACTCAATGAACAAGAAAGATAACAAACCACAAACAGGCACACAATGATGTAATTGCTGAAAAACAGAGATAAAGAGAAAATATTGACAGCATCAGAGTAGAAAAAACCAGACATATTACATACAGAAGAACAAAGATAATAACTGCAAACTTCTTGTCAGAAACAACACAAGCTAAAAGCAGTAGAGCAACATCTTTAAAGTGTAAAAAGAACATCATGATCAACCTAGAATTCCATATCCAGTGACGTTATCCTTCATACAGGGGGATTAGATAAATACTTTTTTAGACAAACAAAAGCACAGAGCCAGCCAATCTGCACTAGAAAAAAAATACTAGAACAAGTTTTTCAAGCAGAAAGAAAATAATACCAGATGGAAACTTGGACCTCTACAAAAGAATAAAAATGTGGGAAACTGTAAATATGTGGGTACATATAAAAGAAACTATTTTCTTATTTTGATTTCCTTAAGATAAAATTGACTGTGTAAAACAAAACTAATAATGTATTTTAAGGTTTATGAAATATGTAATAAATGAAATATACGATAATAACAGCAAAAAGGAGAAGAAAAAAATGAAAGCAAATATCATAAGACTCTTATTCATGAAATGATAACATTACTCAAAGGTAGAATGTGGTAAGATAAAGTGTCGTTATAAACTCTGCAGCAGTCACCAAAAATAATGAACAAAGAGCTAAAAGAGTAGAGATAAATAAAATTCTAAAAAAACAAAAGCAAAACTCAAGTAATCTAAACAAGGGGCAGAAATGAGTGAGAAGAAGGGAAGAAAGCGGATGGAATAAATAGTAAACACAGAGCAAAACCCAAGCATATATGCTGTCTACACACTTCATAAACACATAGCATAGGAAAAGTATAGAACGGACCAAGGTATGCCATGCAAACACTAATCATAAGAAAGTTGGGACGTCCACGTCATTCAGACAGGTAGACTTGTACGGCAGCTTGGGTCCTTCATAAAGCAGATGTCAATACTGAGCCAGAGGCTCAGGAGATTTACTGGGAGAAACAGTCATGAAAGATTAAGGTAAATGAGAGCCAGACTGGGCACAGAAAAGCCTTCAAACATGAATGAGGATCTGAAACCCTTGATCAGAGAAGGGGAAAAAGACTTGAATAGGAAGAGCCTGGGACTGAGGTGTAGGTCCCCAAAGTCTCAGTCAGGCCTACGGAGATCCCGCAGCAGAAGCTGCCAACAGAGGAGTTGGCATTGGGCTGAATCAGCCCAGTCTAGTACCATGCTGTGCTCAGTCACGGGCCGGTGGCATCTTGGGGAGAGCAGAGCCACTACAGGAAGACTGGCAATTCCTGAAGTGTGAAAACTGAGGCTATAGGCTAAGTATTCCACTCTTTGGAAAGGAGATCTAGCAGCACAACTCCAAGGCTGTTACAACTCCAGAACAAGAACTAGGATTAAGGACAAAGAGGGATATTTATTTATGATAAATGACTGTATTCATAAAGAAAACCTAACAACCCTAAATGGGTATGCCCTGAAACACAGCGCTTCAAATATTTAAAGTGAAAACCCTTCAGAACTGAAAAGAGAGACACAGGCACAATTATAGTTAGAGATTTCAACACTCTCCTCTTAGTAAGGGACAGAACAAGTAGACAGAAAATCAGGAAAAATAAAGAAAACAACCAATAGCATCAGCCAAATTAATGTAATGGAGCTTTATAGACTACTTTCAATGTAAAGAGTGGACTTACACATTCTTTTTAGATTCACAGGGAACAATCCCAAGATAACGCATATGCCAAACCATAAAACAAGTCTCAAGAAATTTTAAAGGACTTACTTCATATGCACAGTATGTTCTTTGACCACAATGGAATTAAATTAGAAACTGATTTTTTAATACCTAGAAAATCCCCAAAGACTGGAAATTAATCAACACCCTTTTAAATAACCTGAAAAGTCAAAGAAGAAATCCTAAGAGAAATTAGAAAATATTTTGAACTGAATAGTTAAGAAAACCACAACAAACCAATATACGTGGGACACAGCTAAAGCAATCCTCAGAGGGAATTTTATAGCAATAAATGGTTACATTAAAATAGAAGAGAGAGAAAAAATCAATTATCTAAGCTTCCACCTTAGGGAAGCTATTAAAAGAAGAGGATTAAATTAAGTCAAAAGTAAACAGGAGCAAAGAAATAATTAAGACAAGAGCAAAAATCAGGCAAACAGTGAACAGGCAAATAACAGAAAAAAAAGTAAATGTTTAAAAAAGCAGGGTTTGGGAAAGATAAGTAAAATGAATAAATTAATATTAATAAATACATAGCTAGAGGGGAAATGTCAAAAATTAGCAGTGCTGGAAAGGAAAAAAACAAGATTGTGCCCCAAATCCTACAGATCGCAAACAGAAAATAAGGGACTATTATGAAGAATCCTATGCCAAGAAATTCAACAGCTTATATGAAATGGACAGATAATTTATTAGAACTGACAGAAGAAGAAATGTGGTCTATCTATATTGATTAAAGAAATTGAATTCATAATTTAAAACCTTCCCACAAAGAAAACTCCAAGCCCAAGTGGCTTCACTGACATGCTATTAAACATTAAGGAAGAAATACCAAACTTGCACAGAAAACAGAGGTAAAAGGAACTCTTCTCAATTCATTGTAAGAAGCCAGGATTATAATGATACCAAAACCATCCGTACAAAGACACTGCCAGAACAAAAACCCACAGACCAACATCATTTACAAACATAAACACGGAAATCCTCAGCAAAACCTTAGCAAATCAAATCTAGTACTAGCTGGTAACACCTTGTGTCCGACTGCCAAAGTCTGTAGCAATAATTACTGTTGTCTTTTTTTTTCCTACTCTAAGTCCTCTGTTAGAGATAAACACTTAAATTGTATTGGTCATTTGGTATCGGCCTTTTTGGTTAAGCACATTGTAAAGTAATGCAATAAAATGGCTGGTCCACAGCAACTGCCCACAATTTCTAACATTAGCATTTTTAGCACCAAGGTCAGAGTATAACATGCAGAAAGTCCAGTCATTGTTTTCAGGGTTGAATTGATTAATCATAGGGATAAGACGCAGAATAACCTTACAAGAGTTTTGATTGATTTGAATTCTAAGGCAGGCTTAAAACTGGAATCTCTCTTAGCTAGTTCACTGGTCTAACATATAGATCAGATCCAGTCAGTCAGAAAACTGACTGCTGCTGCAGGGAGGCTCGCAGGCTTTCAGCTCCTGAAGAGGGAGCTGAAATAATGTCAGGGCCAACTTAGTCTCTGGCTGATGCCTTCCCTGATTCTAGGGAGGAGCCATCTTCCTCTGAACTCTCACACTTTAGGCCTCCCTTAAGACAGAGGGTGGTCCCTCCTTTTCCTCAGGGGACATGCTCCAAGATCCCTAGGGGATGCCTGAAACCTCGATAATGCCAAACCCTAAGTACACTACGGTTTTTCAATCTGATCATCAAGAGAGCTACTAAAGTGACTAATGTGCAGGTACTATAAACAGTGTTGATAAGCGATATGCTAATATTTCCTTTGATCTCTTTGGATGTGGGCTTGTACACCAGAATCCATGGACCCTGGATTGCAGGAAGTGCCTGTGAAATTCTAGAAAAGGTACCAATTCACGTTCCTTTTTCTAATATCAAGCAACTCAATAATTGAACTATTTGCCCTTCATTTCACTGAAATTACTATGTCATTCTTTCATGTCTATGAGGACTCCTTCCATAGACAACGTAAAGTGTGTGGAATTAGATTTTATCATCCATATTCCAAATTTCTAAAGGAAGCTGTTTTTCTTTAGTTAGAAGAAAACAGCCAACTAGATTGTACGAATAAAGATTGAATATAGCATATTCTTGATAGTTATTTCTCCGCTTTAATATTTTCTTTTTCTAACCCCAAATAAAGAGAACTGCAAAAACTGTGGAGAGAGAAGAGGGAGAAGCTCAGAACACTGTTGTCTCCTTCCCCAGCCACAGGCCAGACGAGACTGCTCCTGGCAGCTCACTTGCCTCAGCACTGGAGGTGGAAGCACCCAGCACGTATTTGTGAGACACACACTATACTGGACACTGGCTGACAGGTCAGCGAAAAAAAAGTCCAGACGTAGGCTTTGTGCTCCTGGAGCTTCAAGACTAGCAGAGAGGAAAATTAAACAAGTGTCTGCAGTGAAGCAGGATGACTGCTATGACACAGTAATAAGGCTAGTCTGGAGTCAAACTCTAAAAGGTGTGCGGGAAGTCTTCCCTGACAAATAAGAACTATGGAAAGAGATTGGGTCACCTGTGCATGTCTGGCAACTCCTCTTTTCCCCAGTTTTCTAATTGGTAAATTTAGGATGATAAAATCATCTCTCTTGGCTAGGAATGGTGGCTCATGGCTGTAATCTCAGGACTTTGGGAAGACAAGGCAGGCTGATCACTTGAGATCAGGAGTTCGAGACCAGCCTGTCCAATGTGGTGAAACCTCATCTTTACTAAAAATACAAAAATTAGGTGGGTGTGGTGGCACGTGCCTGAAGTCCCAGCTACTTGAGTGGCTGAAGCAGGAGAATCGCTTGAGGCAGAGGTTGCAATGAGCCGAGATCACACCACTGCACTCCAGCCTGGGAGACAGAGCAAGACTCTGTCTCAAAACATACAAACAACCAACCAACCATCTCTCTCATAAAGTTATTGTGAAAATTAAATGGGATGACACAAGGCATGGTGCGTGGTCAATATGGTTTTGGTGTTGTTATGCCAATCAGAGGGCACCTGGCCTAACCCAGAGAGTACCCTAGAAAACATTATTTCTACACTCAGTCCTGAAGCAGGGAAGCGAATTCATTGTGGGTATATTACCCTGCTCGAGCTGCCATGCCAAAATGTCACAGACTGGATGGCTTAAGCAGACTTTTTTCCCTCACATTGCTGGAAATAATAAGTCTAAGATCAAGGTGCTGACGGCACTGAGGCCTCTCTCGTTGTTGCACAGATGGCTGTCTTCTCCCTGCGTTCTCAGCCAGTCTGCCCTCTGTCCCAATGTCCTCTTCAGGTAAGGACACCAGTACGGGATTCTAGATTAGGCCCTATTTTCACTTAATTAACTCTTTAAAGGCCCTGTCTCTAAATATGGTCACATTCTGAGGTACTGTGGATTAGACTTCAACATATGGATTCTGGGGGCACACAGTTCATTTCATAACAATGGGGGAGGCACAGCGGACTATTCTAACAGAAGGAATAGCATGCATGAATTGAAAGAGGAGAAACTGAATGAAGTTACATCCTTTTGCAGTATAGACTGAAAAAGAGAAACAAGATTTGAAGCTGGAGAGGAAAGTGGCGGCAAATCAGGCCATGTAAGGCCTTATAAGGTGGTATAAAATGTTAAGCAGTTCAGGTTACCCTGAGGGAAATGAAAACCATTATAGAATTTTAAGCAGGGTGTGTGCGTGTGGCATGGCTGAACCTGCATTTTAGAAAAATCACTGTCTGCATTATAAGAAACTTTTGGAGCGGGATGTGCACCTGGAAGGCATTTGAAGTAAGACAAGCTAGAAAGGCTGACAGCTTGAGTCAAGCCATGGAGATGAAAGAAACTGACACACTGGAAAGCTAATCAATGGGGTGATTGGTAGAGGGCAGGAGAAAAGGAGAATGATTCCTAGGCTACCAGCAAATGGGCACATAACAGTGAGCAGAGATGACAAAGTAAAAATTGGACCCCTTGAAATCGAGAAACCTGTGGAACTGTCCATAGACCACAGGTTATTGATAGTAACTACCCTTCTTAAAGCTTTCCTATATACCACAGAGTGCCGACAACTCTGTGTGATCACACGTCTTCTTACAAATGAGGAAGCTCAGCCTTAATGAGATAACATAACTTGGCCAAAGGCTCGCAGCTACAGAATGGCAAAGCTAAAAGAGGAATTGACTCTTCCTAATTGCAGAGCCCAAGCTGAAAACCACTATTCAGGAAGGAGGCTGGGTGGAGGTACATATTTAGAGGTCAGTCGATCATAAAGAATGCTTAGCTTGCTGGCTTTACTTCCCAGTTCCCTCACTGACCACCGGCCCTTCCTGATTCTGATCCTTGGTCCTCATCCACATCTGTTAACAGATTGTAATATGGCTGGGTGGCTGATGGTCCAAGTGTAGGGCCTAGGAGCTCAGATTCATGCTGTGGGTTAAGCAATGGCAATACCTGCCTCCATCAATACTGTTTCCTTTATTTTATACTATGGGTTAGACTCCAAGATCTGTGAGATACATGTGCACATGAGCAGCCTCTCCAACTTGTATTTGGGTAATGTCCAAGATCCAAGCTGAGGAACCAAAATTCCGTGTTTACTAATGCACACACCTTTAAAAACATTTTAATGTAATATACATGTAGAAAACAGAGCAAACCATAAGGAGATCGCCTGATCAGTTTTCGCAGACAGAATACACCTATGAAACATCATTGAAATCAAGAAAGTTATAGTAACTCAGAAGCTGGCCCCATGTCCCTTGCACTTACTACCTGTCCCTGCCCTCACCCCACCCCCATCTCTAGGACTACTAACCTTACTTCTGATACCACCAATTAGTGTTGCTTATTATGTACACTATATAAATGAAATCATACTACATATGCACTATTTTGTGTATGTTTCTGTGTATTTTAAAGACTGAAATTTAACTTGGAAAAATAAAAAAGGTTGTATACAGAGACCTAAGTATAAGCCCACTATCTCATCTTCCTATAATTGAAGGACCCCTGATATGGATATATACAACTTCTACATTTGTATTCTGAATTACACCCAGGTAAAATCAGTAACATGAAATGAATCCAGGAAAGTACAAGGCCCATTTCGGTGTTGCATCCTCTTGGAGAGGTTGAGTCACTGACCCAGACTAACTGTAACAAATCCCTTCATATGAATTAAAGATCAGAATGTAAAGTAATAGTAATGGTGATGCAGGTTTTAAAGGGGAAGCTCTATTGCAATAGCTAAATTGAGATAAGCTTTGGATAATAATAAATTTGATATCAATGCTAATTTTTACTTTATCAAAGCAATCCATTTTCTTAGTGAGAAATGTTTTACATTGCTAAGGAACTAAAAACTTCTGTAGAAAGTGTTGCAAATGTGTTGTACAAAAACAGAACTGTCAGCAAAAAAGCTTTTCTACTAGTTTAAAAATTCTTTTAAAATAATTTCACAGAAGTCATGCATTTAAATTTCATTATTTTACTGTATGTTCATTATACTATACTGTATAATTTCACAGTGTACTTGCTGAATTCTGAGTTTGTTTCTTACCTGGACCAAAGAATTCTTGGTATGATGGGGATTGTAGTCTTATTTTTTGGCCAAGAGGATCTTGACGTTGAGAGTTCTCTTACAAATTACACTTATTTTGCTTTAAATCACAACATTAAAAACTTACAGTTTCTTTTTTTACTTGGAAATTAAAACAATCATATTTGCAAGTTTACTGTCACCAGACTTTTAAAGTGGCCCAATGTTTCTAAAAGGAAAAAAACTATCTGTTCACTGCAATTCTCCAAAACATGTAGTTTGTTTGTGTGTGTGTTTGAACTTACATAGGCAGGCATAATTAGGATATAATTCCATGAGAGAGAAGATTCACTTCATTATTTTAGCACATTGAATTCTTCATTTGAACTCCTACTGGAAATGTTTTGATCACACGTTTCTCTTAAACTCCTACAATTCCTGATTACGGTTTGATGTCCCTCTCCAAGAAAATAGCCAACAATTAGCATAGCCTTCTGGTTGAACCAAACAAGATTCTGATACCAATCTAAATGAATTGCCTTCTGAAAAAGGAATCAACCACCTGTGACCACAGTTTCTAAACACAGTGGAAAGTGGCGACTTGTGGGTGAAATTTAAAGTCAGGTTGTTCTTTAGCAGGGGAACGCTGCAGCTGGGTACAGGAGACTAGTTTCTCTGTTATTCTTTCATATTTTTTCAAGATAAGATAGGAATCTGAACGTGTTCCAATTTTAGCTACTATTTACTTTTTGTTTTCGCTATTGTAATTTCCATATAGATGCGCTGTAGGTTTCAATTTCTTCACTCATTTAATACTGATGTTCCATAAGCATATCCAGCATATTTTAAATTTTTAAGCCTATTAGGTGCAGGGCTCAAGCTCTAGATATACATCTGAAACAAACCAACCATATTTTATGCAGCATAATTCTGAATAAATTAGTAGCATTATAAACAAATTAGAGAATCACCGAAATTAAGGCAAGTCCCTGTAACTTTGTATACTACAGAAAAGATATAAAATAATACAAACTATATCTAAACATAGGCTTTTATTGATCATTAATAGAATGGTCTACCTGAAAAGCAGACTTTACTTTTAAACTTTACTTTTTGAAAAGCCCCATTTTTTTCCAAAAATTTTCTACCAACTCTTCAATAAAACATTCTGAAATTTGAGTAACTGTGTCTAAAAGGATTTGAAATTAAGAACTAAATCCCCATCTGCCAGTATATCTGAATTTGCCTCCTTTCAAATTCCATGTAAGGTATCGTCGGTGAAATGATGACTATAAGCAAAAACAGTAAGCATCTAAAAGGAAAAGCCCACTCCATACATATATCAAATATAAATTGATTTCAACCAACTATTTTATTCAAACTTAATTTTACTGTATCATATGTGAATTAAGTATGACTTCTAAAGGTCATTAATAAAAATTTATTTAATAGAGTTCCATATTGTTTCGGAACACATCTAAAGCAGTACTATGTCCTTACCTGACTCTTGCTTTTTTCCCCACCCCTACCCCTCTCCTGACTCTTACAATAAATAAATCACTATTTCCTGATTTGCCTTTGATCTTCCCTAATTGAAGACCATAATTCTCATTTATCGGAGATAATAAGTGAATAGATAGAGAAAAAATCATAAATACCATAAAACCTTATTTTCAGGTCTGTCTACCTACAAATGTTTAACTAGACCAACCAGCTAGAAGTAAAACTAGGCAATTTGTATTGCTCATCCTTTCCCTTCGGGCTTTCTGGTGCAATGTTAAAAGACAAACAATTGGCTGAACTTGGTGGCTCACATCTGTAATCCCAGTACTTTGGGACGCTGAGGTGGGTGGATCACCAGAGGTCAGCAGGTTGAGACCAGCCTGGCCAACATGGTGAAACCCCATCTCTACTAAAAATACAAAAATTAGCTGGGCGTGGTGGTGCGTGCCTGTAATCCCAGCTACTCCGGAGGCTGAGAGAGGAGAATCACTTGAATTCAGGAGGCGGAGGTTGCAGTGAGCCAAGATTGTGCCATTGCATTCCAGCCTGGGCAACAAAGTAAAACTTTGTCTCAAAAAAAAAAAAAAAAAAAAAGAAACAACAAAAAGTAAGCACCAGACTCCAAAGCAGAATCTATGCCCTAAACCAAAGCAAAAAAGGACAATCTTTAGTTATGCTTTATGTCTCTTAATAAGTTCTCCAGCCCGGGAACCAAAGCAAAAAAGGTCAATCTTTAGTTATGCTTTATGGCTCTTAATAAGTTCTCCAGCCCCTCACCTATTGCTCCTTTGATGGTTTTAGTATAGTATGTCCACCACAGGAATTTCTCACTCTGATTATCCTAAATAATATTGCTAGCAAACCCACAACTCCATGCAGTGACACAGATTAAAAGAAGAATTCCTCAGGAATCAGTTTGTTTCCCAAACCCTTCCCCAATAAACTTGGGAAATAGCTATTTCATACAGCACAAAAAAAGGACTTAGTGGTACTTGGAAAATGCCTCTCAAAGTCAAAAATTTATACCTTGACTTAGGAATGCTGAGGTGAAGTCCCAGGGAACCCATGATAAGTTGCGACTTGGTGGATAATCTAAGGGCAGAGCTGATTTATCTTCTGGGGCAGTGCTGTGTGAGCTTGAGCTTGATCCATACTCCTTCTTGTGTGGCTTGAACAACCAATTCTGCGTTCAATGCTTTATTCTACTGGATGCTGGAAAGACCCTTGGCTTCACCAATTTTTAAAGAATTTACCAAAGTTGCTGAGAACTTTGGGTATTTGGTCTGTTTCTGCGTCTTTGATGTCACAGGTCTCATTAACTTGGCAATGACGAAGAGGAGGACACAGGGAGAAGGAGATCACAAAATTTTGGAAACATATATACACTTGTCATTGCTTAATTCTTAATTCAGTAGGATAGGTAAGATAGAACATTGACCACGACTTCAAATGCTCCTTTTACCAAATCTGTATGAACTTTATTTCCCTAAGAAAGTAACATCATAATGACCATAAAATCCTGGCTTTGTATTAATCGTCAGTATATTCCTATAATTCCCACTTCAGATATAGCCCTCCCAATATGTAAAGTTGATCAAGCTTCTGTTCTCATTTGTCTCAGCCTTTGACCCATCTTTCTAGAGACCTTTTGCTTCTTTTGCTTTATTTCATTTGTTTCCCTTCTTTTAAAACACTGCCCTGCCCCCCATTTTCCTACAGATGTCTACGAATGTGTAATTGGGTTTTCTCCTGTTTTCTGAACTTCACCATGTGAAAGAATGGCTTATTCCACTAACCAGTTTCCACGTTTCCAAAAAATACTGCTATTTGCCATTTGTGATAACCATTAAGCAGGTCATACTGATTTTTTAAGTAATGCTTTTTATTGTCAAGACCCAGTGTGATGGTTAATATTAAATGTCAACTTGGTTGGATTGAAGGATGCAAAGTATTTTTCCTGGTATGTCTGTGAGGGTGTTGCCAAAGGAAATTAACATTTGAGTCAGTGGACTAGGAGAGGCAGACCCACCCTCAACGTGGGTGGGTGCCATCCAATCAACTGCCAGCTCGGCTAGAATAAAGCAGGCAGAAGAAGGTGGGAGCAGTGGACTTGCAGAGTCTTGTGGTCTTTGTCTTTCTCCCATGCTGGATGCTTCCTGCCCTCAAACGTTAGACTCCACGTTCTTTGGCTTTTGGACTCTTGGACTTACACCAGTGGCTCCCAGCCTTTGACCACAGACTGAAGGCTGCACTGTGAGCTTCCCTACTTTTGAGATTTTGGGTTCAGACTGAGCCACTACTGGCTTCCTTAATCCTCGTCATACTTCAGCTTGTGATTCTGTGAGTCAATTCCTCTTAATAAACTCCCTTTCATATATACATATATCCTATTAGTTCTGTCCTTCTAGAGAACCCTGACTAATACACCAAGTAAGGAACATTTTTCAATTTAAATTAATACTTCAGTTTTGATGAAATCATCATGATCAATAATGTGTATATTAAGAAATCAATCTCCACATTTATTAGGTTTGGAAGATCTCCTTCTATGTGGTTCTTATTCTTCTAACATAGGCTGAAGTAGAAAGGATTTTTTTGATATATTATTTCTGTGAGAGTTATTTTACTTATTCAATTTGGATTTTTAACACCTTAAAGTAATGGAGACGGAGCATGAAGGAGACGGAAGAGAACAAGGAAAGGAAATGATCATTCAAAGGACTGTGGCAAAAAAAGAACACCACACCCTGAGAATATAATAAAAGAATAATTAGTTCTTCCATAGATCTAAGTTGCAGTCATCGTTCTAAGGTCTTTACTTAATGTTTTTAATTCTCACAATAAATCTGTGAGATTACCACTACTACTATCCACAGGGAGGAAACTGAACTACTGAGGCTAAAAACCTACCCAAGTTCCCACACTCAGCAGAAGAACCAGGATCCCAATCCAACAGTCTGGCTCCAAGGACTCCTACCCTTCCCCATAGATTTGCCTCTTCCAAAGCTAACAGAGTTGATTATTTCAATACCGATGAGACTGAAAGTGAAATTAACAGTGACTTATAACCAAAATGCCCTGATTCTTTTGTGATTCTATATATGAACCAAAATATTTGACACCTACATATTGATTTAACTTATATTTTTGGTGTTGATTGGTATAAAAGAAATTGCTCAAGTGCTGGTCAGCAACAATACTCGTTAGAAAACATGGATTACTACATTTTATGGCATTTGGACTCAGGCGTAAGATAACCACATGTTCTGGTTTGCTCAGAAAACCCCAGGTTATACCTGCTGTCCAGACACAATTGTTAAGTTCACTCTCAAAACTGTCTCATTTTGAATAATAAAATATACCGTTGTCTTACTTAATTAGGCACAACCTGGGCCACTGGCACAAGTCAAATTGCCTAAGATTTGAGATCCAATCTCTTTTTCCGGTCATTTTTCATAGCCATTCCAGAAGCCATTCATTGGTCTGTGCCAACAACAATCAGTGTCTATTCAGCATTTATTCTTATATTCACATGCATTTTTCTTGGTGGTCCCATCTCCAATCTTCCTACTTCCTACTTCCTTCCTTTTACTTTGTTTTTTCTATCTATAAAATTCCTTATGACTGCCAATTAACTCTCATACTTCTAAAAGGCAAAAATCAAAATAAAACAAACACCTACCCTCCGCACCCTAAAAAGTAAATAATGAAAAACTTTCAGTGCACCCAAGCCTATATAAACTTACCTCCACAAACGTCAGTTTACAATCAGATATGCTCATAAAAAGGAGTGTCTACTGACCTTTTCTTTTCAAGCATTTTACAGGATTTGGTACAGCACCACATGAATTTTAAATGATCTTTATTCATCCTCTTAGAATCAATATCTGCATAAAAGCTGACAAGTGCTGCATTTGCTTTTAATAATTCTGATGCTTTTATTTTGTCATCCTAAAATCAATTGCTCTTACCATTATAAGCTCAACAATGCTTTTCCCCATTTCTCTTTTTTCTGCCTCTTCCTGCCTTTAAACACTTCATTTCCCTCTAGCTCTTTTGCCAAATCACTGCCTCTCCTACTTCGGTGACTTCTAGTCTATTCATAACCCCTAATGACATTTTTATCCTTAAGGATTGTATTATCACTTTTTGAAAAGGCGCCACTACTCAACTTCACTCTCTCACATTATGTTTCCCATATTGTCTTTGACTCATCGCTTGCCTTAAGAGATATAGGTTTTTTCCATATCTCTTAAAATTCTTCCAAAAATTTATTTTCTTTTATTCCTTTGAGACGGAGTCTCACTCTGTCACCCAGGCTGGAGGGCAGTGGTGCAATCTCGGCTCACGGCAGTCTCTGCCTCCTGGGTTCAAGTGATTCTAGTGGCTCAGTTTCCCAAGTACCTGGGATTACAGACATGCACCACCATGCTTTGCTAACTTTTTTGTATTTTTGGTAGAGACCAGGTTTCACCATGTTGGCCAGGCTGGTCTCGAACTTCTGACCTCAGGTGATCCACCCACCTTGGCCTCAAAAGTGCGGGGATTACAGGTGTGAGCCACTATGCACAGCCAATTTACTTTCTTTTAGTCCCCTTACACAAACCCCCTGACCTCCTTACCCTTGGATCAAATTCATATATTCACTCAGACATACAGTCTGCTTGGGAAATTTAGCTGGCAAATTAAGGTTCCCAGTTCCAGGGCTTCATTTCACAATATTACTTATGAAGGTCTTTGGGAAATTGACCTGCAGAAAGAAGGGAGAAAAATTCCTGTCCTACCTCTGCAGCAGAACGGTTTACATATGCCCTGAAGCGTTAAGTCTCATTCCTTTACCCTTATCACAGTCCACCAAATTACGGATGTTGGAGGGCACAGTTAATCACTAGTCCTGGAAAGCTGCTCCACGCCATCGGTGAATTAGCATCAAGGAGACAACTGTCAACTCTATCCCACTCAGCGATTTGAGAATTTTGACAATGCTCTCCCTTTCTTAGCCAGTAAGCACTTTTAAAATTTTAGTGATTAAATTTATCCTGCTTATGACACCCAGTACAGAACTGTACTCACTTCCCTTCTCCTAGTGTGATTTAGCAACATTAAATGGCCGTACTTATCCAAATATAGTTTACTCTCATGATGATAATGACATCATTAATGGGTTTGATATAAAAGTTGTTGGATATGTCATACCTTTTGGAAGGAACTGCAATAAGGACTGAAGATCACATAGAAATAAGTAAATATCATTAAAGATTTAAGGAAAGTAATCACAGCTTCAGAGTCACATGGCCAACAATATATTATATATTCGACTCTATGATAATGTTTTCAACAGTCATTCTCCCTAATTACCTGC